CATCAATACAAAATAGCCTAAGAGTCATGTAATGGGACCACCCACCGAATAGTGTAGGAATCACCTATCAATTGTGATCCTCCCAAATTGCCCTTAACTGAGGGATGTCTATTAGAGTCCTATCAAAGTGTTACAACTGGCCATGGTAGCCTTCAATTTCCATTAGAGGTTTTCCCACCATATCACCCATATGTAGATTAACTACAATACCCCACCTACATAGACTCACATTATCATGCGAACAAAGTATATATGCATGGACTCAATACAAACATCACAACAACACAATATGCATAAATCATTACCTTGTGTGTCAGTCTGCAACATTAGACTTATTCATCTTATCTCATCATCAATACTTTCACAATATGCATCATCATAGTATTCATCACAACCATTCAATGTTATCATAACATAACTCTTCATACATCACCATAGGTATTGGCATAATAGACTTCACTATTTTACACAACATTATTCATTAATTTGTTCTTTTAGTCCTCAATGTCAATCCCTCCTCACAATTCCTTATTTATTAATTAATTTGTAAACTAAAACATCTCTACAAGGGAAAAGACATACATGGCACTTGGCGAGGTTGGACTCGGGCTTGATGTATAGAGGTTAAAAACCTTTTTACCAAACTCATGCTTAGCAGGGATATATCACTCGCACCCTGCATGGCAAGGTTTGAGACCTCTCTATCTTAGTTTCACCCTCCATGGTGAAGGCCATGCCCAACGTCACCCCTCTCATAAAATTAGCATCAAGTGCAACACCTCACACTTGACTACCAGAGTGTTGAGAGTTTTGAACCTTTCTAACAGCCCCGCACCTAGGGCAATCATAGAATCTACACTACACAAACTCGGGATTTACATAGTTAATCTTTTCCACACATCCATGCACATTCATTCATTTTAATTCACAATTAAATCGATCAAAAACACTTATTTATCACTCAAACCAATTAAAAACCCTAATTATATGAATGCATCACCCTAATCCATCATCACTTCAATTCAACACCAATATCTCAATCCAACAAGCATCAACACCTGATTCATTCATACACACACATAAATTAAATTGATCAGCCTAAGGGGCTTAGAGATCACCCATCTACCCTTATCCCTCATATGTGTCCAAAGGATTTGACAAACTCACTATTCCTACTAGGAGTGACGATCTTGCGAAACAATGCGCTTCTTGTAGCTAGGGGTGGGTAGATGGACCCGGGTCCGCGGACCGGTCCGTAAGTCCACAGATTTCGCGGATAATGGACCCGTTTTTTTCAAATTCATATGACTATGTCTAATTTTTGAGCCTGGCCCATGAAGTCCGCGGACTTGGCGGATTTAATCCGTGGGCTAGTATGATAAAATTTAGCTTATAAATAAAATTTAGTATTTTAAACCATTTTAACTATTGATAAATTTTAGTATGATAAAATTTAGCTTATAAATAAAATATTTTCTTCTTGTAATTTTATGCATTTTTATTTTTTAAAAATTTATTTTTTTAAACCATTATTTAGGCTCGCGGACTGGTTCGTTATCTGCAAATTTTAGCGGGTCGAATACGGACTTAAAAAATAAGTCCATTTATTTTACAGATCGAACTTATCCAACCCGTATAAAACGCGAGTTTTACGGACCAGGCCTTAAACGGGCTGGACCGGTCCGTATATCCACCCCTACCTGTAGCTCTAGCTGCTAATCTATGCCTTCCTTAGTTATTTTTTCTACATTTTCTCCTACGAGTACTCTAGGTTTCAGAAGATGCGCAATCCCTTCTCCTTTTCTTCTTTTTAATTAGCCTCTAGGTTTGCTCCAAAGTTTAATCCAAAATCTCCTAATTTACCTTTTTCCTTTTATTTTATTAACAAAAAAATATTTCCCTTATAATATTCTAATTATTCTAATTTATTTATTATTTATTTTTAAAAAATGGGATATTACAAATATAAGCTTAGAAACACTTTTAAAATCCTTCTTATCGAAAAGTACTATTTATTTTTTAGTAAAAACATTCTTAAAAGACATTTTTAACTTATATTCATACAGATTTTTTTAAAAAAATTTATCTATATAATAAGTTAAAAAATATCAGAAAATTTAAACAATTATATAACATATATAAAGAGATATCTAAACTTACTTCACTTAATAACTTATATTCTATATTCAATTTTAATGATTTAACTGTTAACTTAAAAGTTCTTAAAATATATATTAATATAATTTTTTAAAATTTTAAAAATTATTTAATATTTCGTTTCATTAATTCAAATTAACAAATAATTATAAAAGTGTTTTATATATTAACTACAAGTTATATAAGTATATATAATAAAGTATTATATAATTTTAAATTTTTTTAAAAATTTACATATTTAAACTATATATTAAAATTTTTTAACTCAATTAATTTAATAATTAAAATTTAATATAATATAAATTATTTAATAAAATAGTCTATCTATTAAAATAAGGAAATCCCTCTTCATATACAATATTAATATATATAGACATCTCCCACTGGATTCGAGCCAATTTTTTTCTATCTATACTGTAAATTGTTTTTTCCCTGACAATCTGTCCATTTATTTTTCTTCATTTATTTATTTTGCAACGGTTGGTGTTAATGACAGCAACTTTAATTTAATAAAAAAAAAAAAGTCAATTAGTCAAATTATATTTCGGACAGATTCGGTGACGAGGGAAATTATTTATTTCAAATGAAGTAATTAAGCAACTTATTTTCTAATAAACAAACTACTAATGTCACTAATGACCCATTAAACCATAAACAGTGCATTTTGACATCCATAATCAAAAAAGCATATCCATTTATGTATCAACTTTTTCTTTTTGTTTTTGCTTCTTCTTTTCACCTTTTGAATGTGCAATCCATAATATAATCTTTCGGCTGCATCTCGTAAGCAAACACTGTCCCTCTCATCAAACAAAAACTACTCACTTATTTGGATGCATTGTATGATTCAGTATCACATTAAACTTTATATATTGTATTTTTCTGTTTCACTGAAATGAATTTATTTTTATTCTTAAGTAAATTTTTTGATAGGTTTCATTAAAAAAAAAAACACAAATCTCAAAATTTCACTCACAGTTGAGTCAATAAAGCAGATTACCTTTTACTAGTAAGTATTTCCTATATTGCACGGATATTTTCAAATACTTAAAATTTATAAAAATACAAATTAAAATCTTTAAGAATTTTTTTTTCTGATAATAAAATATTATGAATTATCTCTTGTAACAAATTTTTTTTTATAAATTATAACATGAAACATATTTAAAATTCTTATTTTAAATTATCTCAAAAGTCATTTTGATTGATGAAATATTGTTATAACGATGATTGATAAAATTTTCATTATATTTAATATTAATTGAAAATTTTAAGTATTAATTAAAATAGTTAAAGAAATTAATTTGTTTAATTGGATAGACAATTTAAAAACATTAATTTGAATTGATAAATAAGTTCATAAACTAATGAAAATATATGAGTTAAAAAATATACAAATTATCTTATTCTTTTTCTAAAAAAATGTTTTTTTAAGTGGATTACAGTTTACAATACAGAAATAAATTAATAAAATTAAATTTTTGACAATTATTATTATTATTATTATTATCATTATTATATTATAGCCACAATGACTTTAAACTTAAGATTTATGCTTTAAATGTTTTAATATTAACTAATGAGTCTTTGGTTAATGTTTTCAAATTCATGTTTTTAACTTTTTTATAATTTAATTTCTTTTTGGGTGCATAAAATTTGATTTAAGATACCATGAAGATTTCACCATGTTTACATTCACAAGGAAGTTGTTGACTTCCTAGAGTGTGGGCATCACCAACTATCTTGGATGCCTGCATAATAAACAATACATGGTTGGCAAAGAAAGGTTGAGAAATAATAAAGCTGAAAAAAATAAAAAATCTGTTAAGTTTGGCTTTGACAAGATCAAAGCCCTTCTTTTATTCTAATGTTTCAAAATTGATTTTTGCCTGGTAGTTCTTGAAATGTCATTCATAAATATTACATTAAGTCATTGTTAGGACCAGTAGAATATGGTGATGGAAAGGTATTTTATTTCATCCACATTACTACAACTAAAAGACAAAAAAATTACTTGTTCCACAGTTGCACAGCAACACAGGACGATTATCTTCTTCTTTTTTTTTTAATGTCAGTATCTACTTTAATAATCTTACATGAATTTTGTTTTGCTATTTTCTCTCTTACATAAATTGTCTTACTGTAACATGACAAAAACTAATAATAAATTTTGCACATGTAACCTTCAACCAACCCCACATTGATAAATATCTGCTCCTGGTAGATTATACCATCATTTTTATTTTCTTACCTCACATATGCTTTCCCTGTGTACTGAAAAAGAGTTGTAAATTATAGCAAAGAAAAAGACAAGTACCTAGTGGCCATCTTTTTTTTTTGCAACTGGCATTTGATCCCAACAATGAAAAATTTCTGTCTTTTGTAACATTATTTATCCAACATTCAATCATCTTTTGTCTCACAAGCAAGTGGCATATCTATAGTAAATTTTTTGGGTAAAGTATGCTTTTTCTCACTGTAATATACCCTTTTTATTTAATCTTTGTAAAATTATTATTTTTAAATAGTCCATAGCATTTTCGTTTTTATTATTTTATTTTAGTCTTCATGACATTTTTTTTTATATTTTAGTCCATGTAATATTTTATTTATTTTGAGTTGATTTGTTAAAAGTAAATTAGAGGCCAAAAGTGAATTACTTACATATTAAAAAAATGAAAAAGAAAAAAAGAGTATATTGCAAAGATAAAAACAAATTGACAAAAATCAATCTAAAAAAGATAAATTTTATAAGAATTATTTTTTAAAAAAATTATAAGGACGAAAACAAAATGGTATATTAGATAGAACAAAAGTATATTTAAGCTTAAAATTTTATTTTGTTACATATTCTAATATTCTCCACCTTCTGCAATTTTACTCAATCATCATTCTCTATTCAATGGTTCTCAATTATCTCTTCATGATCATTACAAAGTTCCAATTTTCATAACTCTGTACACACTAATTTTCAAGCAAAAACATCCTTGTGAAAATGTCAGAATCCAAGGAAGAAAATCATGACCTTCCTCCCAAGTCAAAGCCACTGGAGGAACATGGGTTTGCCATGGATTTTGACATTGGCCTTGAAAGTCCATGGCCCTTGGATCATGTCTCTTTGGTCTCCAACCCCATGTCTCCTTTTCTCCTATCCACTATCTCTGAACAACCTTTTTCTCCTGTCTGGGCTTTTTCTGATGTTGAAGATGACAGACAAATCAGGATTGCAGCTTCAGGTATCTTTCTTTGATTGCCACATATCCCTGTTTTGTTTCTGTGTGTTTTGGTTTGTTTCAGTTTGGATGTTGAATTGAATTTTGTAGTTTTCTTCAAATTTTATGACTTGCTTGATGCCATGTTGACTGAAACTGAATAGCCTAGCAGCCTGAACTTGCTTTAATTGATTGTGAAATTTAAGAGGGTTTTGAATTATGTTATTCGGTAGTTTTTATTTGGAGCTTCTTTGTCTATTTCTTAGCTTATAGTTTATGTAAATTGAAGGACTTTTAACTTTTTCCATAATTATTTCTCTTTCTGTTCTTGAAGTTCTATATTGTTGAGAAAATTGATTAGAAGGCAAATGAAATATAGTTGCAATTTCCATATCTAATGAAGTTTTGCTACATGTATCTTCCATCTTGGTTCAAAGATAAATTTTCTTCCTGTCTTCATCTTATAAATTGAGTAGTTAAACTTTAAGGCTTCATTTGTTTATACCTTTCATTGGCTTTGAATCAATCACATATTTAAAGGCCATAGTTTTGTCAATAATTCTTACTTTCTTGGAATGTTGGCTATTTATGGCACTTTAGTTATTTATAAACTTAGAAGTGCTATATATGATATAAAATTGAGCTAAAAAATTGTTTTTACCATAACTGTTAAGCTTTCATAGTCTATTCCGATGACATCTTATGCTAAACATGAACCTTGAAGTTTTTGATGGACCTGCAGTTGTTCGTACTGACACCGCTGCTTTCAGGTAATACAAATACAACGAATGAAAATCCAGTTGAAAATGATGCCAACAAAAAAACTGTGTCACCCCTTGTAGCTCTTCCACCTTCAGAAAATCCAGATGGCTATTGTCTAATCAAGGAAAGAATGACACAAGCGCTTCGCCACTTCAAAGAGTTGACTGAACAGAATGTTCTTGCTCAGGTTTGGGCACCTGTGAGGAATGGCAACCGCTATGCACTTACAACTTCAGGCCAACCATTTGTGCTTGATCCACATAGTAATGGACTCCACCAGTACAGAACAGTCTCCTTGATGTATATGTTTTCTGTGGATGGGGAGAATGATGAAATCCAAGGCCTTCCCGGTCGAGTTTTTCAGCACAAAATTCCAGAATGGACTCCCAATGTTCAGTATTATTCCAGCAAGGAGTATCAGCGCCTAAATCACGCACAACATTACAATGTTCGTGGAACCTTAGCTCTACCTGTGTTTGAGCCTGCTGGACAGTCATGTGTGGCTGTACTGGAGTTGATAATGACTTCACAGAAGATTAACTATGCTCCTGAGGTTGATAAAATCTGCAAAGCCCTTGAGGTTGGGTTTCTTTTGAACTGTACTATTTACTATAAGCTGCATGATGTGCTCATGTTTGATGAGTTTCATGTGATGGTTAAACGAAATATACTAATATGTCCTTAAACATTGATCTTGAGTCTTGACAAAGGTAACTGTCGTATGGGTACTTGACTCCTGTCACTAACATGTTGGAAAATGTATGTGATTACTAAAATTTTTAGATTCCTGAGTTACCTGCTGTCAGTTTCCTTGCAGGCAGTTAATTTGAGGAGTTCAGAAATTCTGGAGCATCCATACAATCAGGTCGTTTTCTACTATCATGCATGATGAATCCCTATTTTGCTTTTATTTTCTCAAAAGATAAGATATATATGTTGTCCTGTGACTTCTATCTTACCCCTGTATTGTCACAGATATAACTTGGCAATTCTTTTAAACCAGATTTGTAATGAAGACCGCCAATACGCGTTAGCTGAGATTTTGGAGATATTGACAGTTGTCTGTGAAACTCATAGCTTGCCTCTGGCGCAAACGTGGGTTCCATGTAAGCATCGGAGTGTTTTGGCACATGGTGGTGGTGTTAAGAAAAGTTGCTCAAGTTTTGATGGCTGTTGCATGGGGCAAGTCTGCATGTCTATAACTGAGGTAGCATTCTATGTAATAGATGCTCGTACATGGGGTTTCCATGAGGCCTGTGTTGAGCATCACTTACAACAAGGTCAAGGGGTTGCTGGGAGGGCATTTTTGTCCCACAAAATGTGCTTCTGTGGAAACATTACCCAATTCTGCAAAACTGAATATCCTTTAGTACATTATGCTATCATGTTTGGTTTAACCAGCTGTTTTGCAGTGTGCTTACAAAGTTCTCACACAGGAAATGATGAGTATGTGCTAGAGTTTTTTCTGCCTCCTATGATCACGGACTTTAATGAACAAAAGAGTTTGTTAGGATCCATATTGGCTACAATGAAGCCACATTTTCAGAGTTTTAAGATTGCTGCTGGTGTTGAACTCGAGGAGAATGGTTCAGTTGAAATTGTAGAAGCAATAAATGAAAGAGTTCATTTGAGGTTTGAATCCATTCCAATTACTCAATCTTCAAAGTCACCACCTAGACATGCCTTACCAAATATGGGGGAGGCGTTACCACCGGAGCCATCAGAACAGCAAATAATGGCATACTGCGATGACATAAATGATGGAGGGAGCCTTGGTGATAATGCAGGTGGACACATTGATCAAAACACTCTCTTAGAGACCAAAACCAAAAAAAAACCCTCAGAGAGAAAACGTGGAAAAGCCGAGAAATCAATTAGTCTTGATATTTTGCAACATTACTTCACAGGAAGCCTTAAGGATGCTGCAAAGAGCCTTGGTGGTATGTTTCATTTTCAGATTTAACAGTTATAAGAAATATTTTATTTATCATCCCTACAAAGGTGCACGTTTGCTCTACTACAATGAAGTGCACATGAAATATATAGCAATAAGCCAATAACTAATTATCTATGCTTTTATTATTTCTAAGTTTACCGCATACTAGAAACATAAAGATATCAAAAAATATATTATCACCAAAAACACAAAATTGATTAGTGTCTATTACCAGTAGCTTTCATTTTTATTAGTAGCAGGTCTAACAAAGTTCTTGGATACATTCTTGCTGTACAGTTTGCCCTACTACAATGAAGCGAATCTGTAGGCAGCATGGGATATCACGTTGGCCATCTCGAAAGATCAAAAAGGTTAACCGTTCCCTGTCCAAGCTCAAGTGTGTTATTGAATCAGTCCATGGTGCTGAAGGAGCATTTGGTTTAAATTCTCTAAGTACAAGTTCACTTCCCATTGCTGCTGGTTCCTTTTCTGAGCCTTCCACCTCAAACAAGTTCAACTGCCAAAACTCGTTGACTATTAGGCCATCAGAGCCTAAGACGGATGAAAATGATTTTGATGCTTCTAGAGCATCAGAAACCAACAGACAAATTGAGATGGGAGAACAATTCCTTGGAGCAAGGACACAAAGTCCTGAGAAACTGATTAATGATAAAGTTGGTACCATTCAGGAGATTGGCACTAAAGGCTCAAACAAATTGAGAACTGGGAGTGGCTCAAGTGAAGGCAGTGCAAATCCTACTCCTCATGGTTCATGCCAAGGAAGCCCCCCAAATGAAATTTCACCTACAAAAGATATATTCATAGCAGGCAACAATGAGCAATGTCTTGTGTTAAGGGGATCACTGGAATCAACACTGCTCTCAACTAGAACTAGTACACCAAACCGCCCAACTGCATACCCTATGCCTAACATTGTGGACACAACAGAACCTCAAGTGCCATTTGTAGGACAGCTACTTGAGGGTGCTGGTAGTTCTAAGGACTTGAGAAACCTATGTCCTTCAGCAGATGCTGTTTTGGAGGATCAGGTTCCAGAAGCTTGCAGGATGAATCCTCAACGTTCTGATTTGGCTCCTATGCAACACATGAATACTCTTTATAACAATGTGCCACCTTTTCCAGTTAGGAAAGGGGTGAAGAGTGTGACTATTAAGGCAACATATAAAGAAGATATCATAAGGTTTAAGGTCTCTTTGGACTGTGGTATTGTGGAATTAAAAGAGGAAATCGCCAAGAGATTGAAACTAGAGGTGGTGACATTTGATATCAAGTATCTGGATGATGATCATGAATGGGTTTTGATAGCATGTGATGCAGACCTGCTGGAGTGCATGGACATTTCAAGTTCATCTGGCAGCAACATAATCAGGCTTGTGGTGCATGATATACTGTCCATTCTTGGAAGCTCATGTGAGAGCTCAGGAGATTGGAAAGGTTGTATATAGTTTGGTTTGTATCAATTATTTAGATTCTTGTAGCAAGTGATAGTCTTTTTTCAAAAAAGTGAAGAAAAAAAAGTTTTAGATTTGCACAATTGCAAGAAACTTCCCATTGGATTTAAAGTATTACAAGTTTCTATAGTTACTATCATCCAATATTAATCGGCGATGAGCCACAAATAAAGAAAATTAAGGATTCGATCTTTTGAGAGAAGTGGTGCACATGATGTGGCAACTCTTCCACATTAAACAGTATTGTTTATAACATTTAAAAAATATACACATAATGATGGAATGGTTAGTCGTTTAGGTTAAATTTTAATAAATTTTGAGGACAAAATGTTTCTAACCATGAAGATTTTGGGACATCAATCTGAAAGTCAACTCAATTGGACTACTTGTAACACCCCAATTTCCTTAAAAGGATATTTTTAT